GTTCAAGTATAGAACTCCTAACTGCTTTTCTTTCACCCTTATAGAACCAATCTGGGATATGTTCCCGTATCCGAATTGAAAGCAAGCGCTGGCTACAGCCAGTGTACTAAACAATTTTTCTAAAAAATAATATCACTTTAATTAGATTAAAAGTTTTCTGAAAACAACTAATCATTATATTCAAGGTATCATAAATGAATTTACTTATTATAAAATGAAGAATAAATGATTGATTTTGTTACATATTACTAATTAAACCTCATTTCTACAATTCAATAAATCCGCTTATTTTATTTATTTATTTATTTGTTTGTTTGTTTAAGGTCAATCATTAAAGCAACAGAATTGAATACGGATGTTTCTAGGAAATGAATGTTACTCTCTACGCCTTCTTTTTTTTAAAAATAATAAAAATCTATAATCAAGGGATTCCATACTTTTCCTCATTTAAATAAAAATTACTGTCTTTTATTGAATAAAGATTAAATTGTTTTAAGGTAGTAGGCTAAAAGTATTATGATTGTGTATTCTGTGTAAATAATGACCGATTATTATTTTATTTTAAATTAAGAACAAGCTTTAAGTGCATTTTTGTTACACATAAAATACCTTAAACTAAGTGTTAAACTGCCATTGTTGAAAAAAAAGTGGTATTACCTCAAGGTTGTTTTTTGTTTTTTGATGAAACATGGTTAACAATGGAATTGAGTACGTAGTTTTTATTCTTTTTTGGGATTACACTGTTAGTCATGTTCTATCTTTGATATTAAAACTTGTGTTCTCAAAGACTATATCAACGTAATCCACATAGGAAACATATATGTCAACCAATGGTGCACATGTGCTCCAGTATCCTGAAGGAACAAATGGATTATGAACCAATTTTCGGTCACCGGCTATCATGGGACTGCATCTCCTTACGATGCTCCACTGCCTTGTGGATCAGACCTTCAGGTCGAAGGCTTCGGCTGTGGACCCCTAGGTAAACCACCTGCTTCGGTTTGGGCACCCTGGCAGTATTCCAGCCCTCACACATATCAAATGAGATTTGTGTGGCGTATATGTATTCGGTGCCTCCTTGTACCAATATCTATCTGTTAAAATAAATAAAATAAACAAATATGTCAACCAAGAGTCATAATACTAAACAAATTATGACATAACTTCTTAAATAATTTTCAGTTTTACAAAAATAGCAAAATTGTAACTTTAAACGATGAAATTTTTTCACGGCTTGGACTAAATTATAAACTGTCCCTGAAAATAAAACATCGCTCACTGTATGTTATAACTTATTTACTCATGTCTGTTACTCCTCATGGAGGAGCATAGACCGACCATCAGCATTCTCTATCCAACCCTGTCCTGGACAGTCCTTTCCAGTTGCTAATCATTCTTTTCATGTCTGCTTCCCATTCCCGACGTAGTGCGTTATTCGTCCTTCCTCTTTTCCATTTCCTCTTAGGACTCCGGATTAGTGCTTACCTCGTGATGCGGTTTGGTGATTTCCGTAATGTATGTCCTATTCACCTGCAAATTCTTCTAATTTCCTCTTCGGCTGCAAGCTGGTTTGTTCTCTCACACAGTGGGCTGCTGCTGATGGTATGCAGCCAGCGGATATTGAGTATCTTACGAAGACAACTGTTTATAAATACTTGTACCTTTTTGATGATGTTTACAGTAGTTTCAGCTCCGTACAGTAGAATCGTGTTGATGTTCGTATTGAAGATTCTGACTTTGATGTTGGCTAACAGATAGTTATTTTGAGTTCCATTTGTTCTTCAATTGTAGGGATTCTGTCCTTGCTTTGCCAATCCTTGCCTTTAGGTCTGCATCCTATCCTCCTTATTCATCGATGATGTTGACCAAGTACGTGAAAGTTTGCACGTCATCCAGAGTTCCTCCATCAAGTGTGATTCGGTTGGTGTTCTCCATGTTGTATCTGTGGTTATTGCGTTTTCCTTTGTGTATTTTCAGGTCTACTGATGCAGAGGCTGTAGCTACACTGGTTATCTTCATCTGAATTTGCTCGGGTGTATGGGATAGAAGGTCCAGGTCATTTACGAAGTCCAAATCGTCTAGTTGATTCTAAGCCGTCAATTTTATTCCGTGCTTCTTCTCAGATCTGTAACAGCTAATCTAAGATTCATCAAGGAAAGTATAATCTTTTTTTATACACAACTGTGTATATCATTCACTGACACACTGATACGTTTCTTAATAGTAAGCTTCTTACAAGAAGCGTGTACATTACACAATACTAAATTTTTAGTGAATAAGAACATAAATAGGGACAATCAAATGTGTTTGAATACAAAATTAGAGATCATTTTAGAGTAAAATCTGAGAACTTTACAATAAATAATTCATTTGTAAAATATCAATCATTTATCACAGACTTCATTGTTCTTTTATTTCCACATCAATTATTGTTTGTTGTCGTTTTCTTTTCTTTGATTTTCTTAACCTTCTGCTTCCAGGTATTTCACTCTCGATGGATGATACATGCTACTTATATCTGTCGACATCAGTAGCATCCCCCACAATTAATTATCAATTATATGACAACACTATTTATTAGACTTAGAATCTATAAATATAGTTGACTATAGAACCATCAGAACTGTACTAATATGGCCTAAATTCTTTGACTCTATTCTCTTGTATCATAATTATACTTACTACTAAACGGTAATAAGCTAAGTCATTATGTGTGAAAATTATATTTGACATAATCTCAGCGATTGAAATTTAAAATAATTCCAATGTTTCATCCAGCTAACTTGTCTGGACTTGATTATTACCCTGAAGAAGTCCAGACAAGTTAGCTGGACAAAACGTTGGAATTGTTTTAAATTTCAATTGCTGAGATTATGTCAAATATAATTTTCACATGTGATAACTTCTTTATATTTGGCACTCTATTTCTGTCAAACTATTCGTTCTAATATTGACGAATATTCGTATAAGGTAATAAGCTAACCCTCAAAATTTATAAATCATAATTGGCATTTCTTTTTTCACTCTATTTACAAACAGTCACAATGAAACTGATTTAAAACTAATGAAAAAATTAATAGGATTTCTTATTTCCCAATCATTAATAATATCAATATAGATTTCTAAAATGAACAAAACTTGACTAAGAAATATATATATTATCAGAATGGGTTTTGTGGAGATTTTTAGAAATTTCACTGGTTGAAATCATGAGTCAATTGAAGCGAGACACCCATTCTGATAATAATAATCACCCGCTCACTAGTGACTGACTTCAGGAGACGCTCCTGGAGTTCTAGTGAGACGTCGTTACCAGGTCTGTTGTGAGATAGGAACTCACTGAAGACAATGGCGTACGGTGGCGCAACTTCGTGGATTGGTTGGAGTTAGACATTAACACCGTTGGACGCCGGCCGACTCAGTGGTCTAGTTGGTTAAGTGCCTGGAGCGAGACTGATAGTTCCTGGTTTCAAATCTCGCGGGGGGAGGGATCGTGGATGCGCACTGCTGAGGAGTCTAATACCAGGACGAAACGGCCGTCCAGTGCTTCCAGGTTTTCCATGGTGGTCTAGCTTCAATTGACTCATGATTTCAATCAGTGAAATATATCTAATTAACATATGGCTTATTAACTGACTCTAGTCAATTATTTATTCAAAAGAATAGACTGATGAATACTGACTAAATAAACGTTTATTTCCTTTAGAATTGATAATCTAATTGTGAGACATTGTGAGACCTCAATACATAAAAGATTCTTATATTTAAATATAAAGGATAAATGTCAACCAATCTATTCATAAAACAATGTACATATATACACATATATAATCTGAAAAATTTATCATTGACTGTTATGAACCATTATCATCAATAAATCATGAATTTACTTTTTTTCAATCTGTCATATATTGCATGTATCCATTTCTTTCTTTTTTTGTTGTTGGTTAGATAAGATAATTCTTATTAGTAATTGATATAAACTAAAAGATTTTGAAAATTGGAATGAATTAGATTGTTGCATTTGTCCTAGTTTTAGACTTTTCATATGGTTTTACACACCTACCTAATTAAGCCTGTTACTTCTCATGGAGGAGCATAGGCCGCCCATCAGCACTCTCTATCTAACCCTGTCATGGGAAATCCTTTCCAGTTCATCCTAGTTGATATTCATCCTTTTCATATCTGCTTCTATTTCCCGACGTAATGTGTTCTTTGGACTTTCTCTTTTCCGCTTCCCTATACTTATTGTCTATTAAAGAACCAAAAACAGTGACAAAATTTCATAACAACTAAACACTTTTGAACGATTGAAGCAAAATTCTATGGTTCACATTTTCAAATTTTGTTAATGTTATATCTTGAAAGGTTGTTTTCTTGATATACTGTTTATAACTAAGCACTAGGACACCAAAACACTTCCAAGTCACAATAAGAAGACAGAAGACTAATGAAAGGAATATTATTCCAAACAGTGTCAATTATAGTACAAAATTATCAGGTATTTATAGTTTCTAGTAAGAACGAAAAAATCATTACAGTCCACCCATCCGCATACTGGGGGTTATTGGCGTTATCCAATCAGGAAGCTACACGCAGAAATCCTAGAATATTCTACCAAATAGTGATTGGATCGAATGTCTTCAGCTCCTTCTGAGCCTCCTACGGCTTCCTCGAGTTCACCCGTGGTCCGTCGTCACAGTTAAATTGTAATGTACTACAATTCTATGATTTCTTACATAATTTCAAACTTGAGGAATTATCGACTCATGACAAAAACTGTATTTAAATTTTACAATTCTTTATACAAAATACGTACAAATAATTTTCAATAACTGATATAAAGCCTCTAGTGAAAATTATTCTCTCATATAGAGCATTAACTCATTAAATGAACAGAAAAATGCCCTAAAATGCTAAACGTTACACATTGAATAAGGATGATTAACCTCATACTAAAATATTTTATTATTATAATTAAATCTTATTTTATAATTTAGATTAGCTGTACTTGATGAAGATTTGTATGGTTCTGACTGGCTTGGAGAATATCGATTGCAATTATCTCAATTGATTCCTAATCGTTTAACCGATTTCTCAGTTCCACTTGGCCCACATAAACCGGTAGTTTTATTATTTTTATTGTATATAATAGTTTTACCAAAAGAATGTAGTGAATTTATTACTTCTTACGAGCTTCAACTTGTATTTACTTCATTAATATTGTACTTTGTATTATTTACTTACTTACGCCTGTTACTACCAATGAAGTATCCGCCGCCAACCAGCATTCTTCAACTCACTCTGATACTCTGTATCATTTTGTCAAAAATAAATTATTAGAAAGTACTGACACTCCATGAGTCAAGATCAGAAAGAAGTTATTCGATTCCAAACATTTATTACATAACACATTCGCATAGAGTAGATGTAGACTTTTCAATAGTATTTAATAAAAACCAGCTATATCTGATATTTAAAAAACCTATGATTGCTACATATTACGCTTTACCAACTGTTTACAATTTGATTCTGATTAGAAATATGATGCTTTAAGATATTTAGTTGTTAAATATAGAAATGATATAGCACATACGATTATGTAAGCTACAAATCAACTATGAAACTGAACCTAATCATTGACTAGTGACCATAGATTTGGCCATTGCTTCGGGGGCAGTTAAAATTACAAATCGTTACATACCAACTAATACTCAGCATATCAATCAGATTTATCGAGGTGAAGTAACAATTTTCAATCTACATAAAACAAAAGAAGTGATGCCAGAAGATGTTTGGAGATAATTAGTTAGAAACTCTTAGTTTTACATACTTAAATGGGATTTCATAGTGTCGTTTATAATACGAAATGGAAGCAAACTCTGGATTTGAACCATTAATTAACATGTTACTGAACAGTTTCTAGAATCATCAAAAATCAGGTATCATTTAAAAAACCCGTGTCTTCTAGGTTTGACATTTCTCCACATTGTATCCTTACTACTTTACACCATGGATCACTTTCAAAACCTTTAAGTTCCAAAGATAACACAAAGAATTTTGATCGATGATTTTTTGATGTAGCGCGATCTTTAAACTAATCTCATCAATAAGTAGACATTTTTATTTTCGATTTCTTTCTCTATTTACGTGTTTCAAGACATTTTTCGCTTAAATATTAAATAAACTAATTTATGTAATTTATTACAATAAATCAACTTAATGATAATAAAGTTTTATCTTATTTACTAGATACAACGTGGTGAATTTGATTTAGCATGCCCAACACGTGGTAAAATACAACTAGGTCTTGGCTATTTAGAAGATCGTAAACAATTATATGTTGAAGTAATTCGTTGCGCTAATTTAGCCCCAATGGATCTTAATGGATTCTCTGATCCTTTTGTCAAATTGTAAGCTGTTGCTTTTATTAACTTGGTATAAATTTTATCATAAATAATGGTATATTAATTGAGTAGTAAATTTTGATAAATATCACATTGTTACTAACCTAGTATTGATCAAATATCATTGAATGAAGTTTAAATTTCGATTACCGAATTAAGTGACTGCACTGTATTTACTACTCGGTAGTTAAAAAAGTTTACTAGAAACCCTTGAACATTAGTCACTACTTAATGGTTAGTTAGTAGTAACATGCTAATTCGACAGGAAATCAATCAGTAAAACACGATACATTTATTCAGTTGACGAGTTGTAAATAGGACGTAATGCGCATTCTGGATTCCATTGCTGGCCACCATTGTCTGTGCTTATGAATTTAGGATTATTTATAAAATAAAGTAGAATTGTTAATGTTGAAATGACCACCACACAATGATAACTTAAATGAGCTTATACGTGAAATGAAATTGTGAGTTTATTGATCAGAACATTTATGAGTAACATAGTGACAAAGAAATAATAATTTAATTACAAATCAGATTAAATGTAGATGACCACACAGTGCACGCATTCAGTAAAAGAGAATAATGCAGTGGGTTGAGTACTAAATAAATTGTCCTCAAGTTAAGAAGATTGATTGTTATCTTGCAACGAAATTAATCTTATTCAGATATTATTCCCATTGTTATTTTTATCTACATTTCTTTGTATTATTATTATCATTATTACAATCGTCATTGACTTATGAGAATATAAAAGTACTGAGCTTGTAAGTACATTATTTAAATTAGGTAGTTCTAAAATTAAGATTATCAGTGACTTACTGGCTCAGAGGTTGACCAAAATAAGAGAAGGGGATGAACATATTTCCTAAGCACACACTTCTCTGATTTTCAAATCCGAATGACTATTACTTTTGCCATTTGTAAAAAGTTGAGTTTGACTGACTTTGATATAAAATTACTAACCTAATAGATCATTGTGAATGATTGACTTAAACTGACACTATGATTATTTTGGAATAAATGAGTCATTGTTAGCTGAATATTATCCTCCTCTATCTTAACGTAAGGTAATGAGTTTTGATCTTACAAAAGGTTCCACATTTCATGGGATTGCCCAAGCATCTTACTGACAAATGATGAGTGAGTTGAAATTAAGGTTAGGAGCCTTTTTCCGAATTTCTCCAGTTGAGGATAGTATTTAAATTCTTTGATGTTTTGAAATTTATCAGAAAGGGGTTTTATGGAGATTGTAGTAATTTAATAGTTGAATTCATGAGGCAAATAAAGCTAGTTCACCATGAAGAACCTGAAAGGACGTTTCGTCCTCGTACGGGACTCTTCAGAAATGCACACCCACGATCCCCCTAGCGGGATTCGAAATTTATTGACTTACACGACAGAAATGAATGAATAATTCATGTGAATGAAAGAAAACCTTTTGAATGTATCTTTGTTACATCTTTCGTTAACTTTGGAAATTAATCAGACTGTTTAAAGGTGTTCTTATAATTGAGGAATATTTATTAATGAGAAAACCTTTTCATTCATTAGTTATGAGAAAAAAGTATGTGGAATATTGTGTCCTAGAAGACGATAATCAGCTTTATGACATTCGAAGTAATTCATATTGCAATATTGGTCAGTCACTAGTTGAAACTTTTAATTATTATTAGTTATGTTTTGTGTTTTAAGTCTTGGTACTTTCTCGTGAGATTAAGAACCTCAAAACTTGTTACTGATAGAAGGATACAGACAGATTATATATAAATTAAATTTCAAGTTTATATTAATGAGTAGTGAAAGTCTAATAAAACAACTCTACGAAATGGCTATCTTATTTTTTTAAACCTATCATCATAAAAAAATGATTCATCTCCAGAATATAACACTAACTTGTGGATTGTCATTAGCTTCAATCATAGCTCTAAAAAATTAGTATTAATCGAGGCTTTTCAGATTTTCATGGATATCATTTAGTGAATTTAAATTCATATCTAAACTCAGAAATACATTGGATATTATGAAGATTATTGAATGTCAGTGATTAGTGACGACCTCATTTCAAGCTGGTTTACTCTACTGGTTACAACTTCACAGTTCTGGCAATTGGACCCTAGTTTTTATCCTAGTGATTCTAATTTTGTTGTGTCTTTAATCCCGGCTAGTTATCACGTGATTTATTCTCCAATCGAAATACGACTTATTCAATCTTAGTACTGTGTTAAATGAATGACGTCCGAGTGGTATGAGTAGCCTACAATCTTTATTGGTCCTTTGTTCGCCTAGCTCGTCCACTTGAATCTAGAACGCCAATAATAGCTCCCACTATACGAATCATTTATTTCAAACATACTCTGTTTATGTGCCAGCCAAACAGACCGCATCATACAATAAAATAAGGAATAATATTTGTACTAGTTCAAGCCCAAAAGTGGCTGTGAACGTGGAGGTTGGTGGTAATTAATAAGCTGAGTATAATTTAAAAATAATAAACCGTATCATAACAATAATCTATGGGTCAAAATGAAGCTTATAATAAGAGGATTATAGAAAATATAGTCACTGAACAGTTATACTTCGACGCCCAACTAAAGGTCGTGAAAAACAGACTAGAGAAGATCAGGCTGGTTTTCGACCTGGACGTGGTTGTATAGATCAGATATTCACACTATGTCAGGTTCTAAAACACAGACACATATTCAGACGCCCCACTATCGTAGTATTTCTCCACCTTAAGACAGCATTCGACTCTGTTGATCGTGAGGTTCTATGGCAGTGTTTGTCATTGAAAGGAGTACCAAAGAAGTAAATTAACCTTATGAAGGCTCTCTACTCGAACACGACTGGTAGAGTGAGAGCTTATGGAGAACTGTCATCAGAATTGATTACCTCAAATGGTGATCGTCAGGGCTGTCCACTATCTCCATTTTTGTTTAACTTTGTCATTGACGTGCTTTTAGAGATAATACTTTCCTCACCTAAATTTCCAGGGGTTGAACTTCTACCGGGAGATTCACATTTTGACTTAGAATATGTCGATGAAATAGTTCTATTTGGTGAAGACGCTGACAAAATGCAGTCTTCTGACCATTCTAAGCAACAATGCATGCATGTTCGGGATGCGATTCTCCCCCTCAAAATGCAAAATGTTGCTTCAGGATTGGGTTGCATCCACACCCGAACTAATGATAGAGAGTGTAGTAGATGAGCGTATCGACCGCTTCACCTATCTTGGAAGTCTCATCAACCCTTGTGGTCTGTTGTGTGACGAAACCTCAGCACAGATACAGAAGGCTTGACTAGCTTTTGCCAACTTGCGTCATTTAAGGCGTAGGCGAGATATCCGTCTATCAACCCAAGGACGTGTTTACTGCACAGCAGTTCGTTCTGTCCTACTTTATGGCAGTGAAACATAGTAAGAGTAGAGGATATTCCAAGGTTACTAGTATTTGACCATAGGTGTCTTCGAAACATAGCTCTCATATCCTGGTATCACCGAGTAAATAACGCAGTTGTTAGGAAACGGGTACTAGGTAAGGATGGCAAATCCATTGATGAAGTAGTGGAACTTCATCAGTGGAGATGCCTGGGACACGCGTTACGTATGCCCAACCACCGACTGCCTTGACGTGCTATGTTCAGTGGTATAGGAGTAGATTGGAAGAAAGCTATTGGCGGCCAGATCAAAACATGGCACAAATCCATGAAGTCACTGACAAGTGGACTGAGTCATATTAGTAGGTGTAGACTATCTGGTTGGGGACCGCGAGGTGGTAGCAACCAGTGGTTAGAGACCCTGAATGACATGGCTAAAAATAGTTTGTAATGGCGCAGGTGCATACACTCTTTGTGTTCTCCCAAATTCTAATCTCCTGCTTCCTCCTTGTTTCTTTTTTTCTCTTCCCAAATTTATTTCACTGGATTATACCCCTTGAATAATATCTTCAAAACTTAATCTTTCCGATTACTGCTTATACTCTTACTACCTCTACCACTACGGTTTTTGAATCGACCACTGCATCTCTGTACTAATGTGGTGTGTGGTGATCTCGAACCCGTACAAATATGTGTATGTATACTACTGACAAATCTCACATTACAATAATACAGTCGTTGATCATTTTATTTTTCCTGTTTTACAATAGTTCTTTATATAACTTCATTCGTTGATATGATATCTTCTAAATAGATCTTTTTCTTTTTAAATATCTAACTTATGAAGATTTTTTCAACTGATATTCTCTAATAGAATAGTTTATATAACAGTTGATTTACTAATACAATAAAGGTATAAATTTAAATGACACCAATATATAAGTTCAATTATATTCCTCCCTAAAAAGGTTTTCTTTACTTGTTTTCTTTCTTCGTAAATTGCATGCAAATGACTTTTTAGCATATACATCCATCATATATTTCCTTTCATTTATATATATATATATAATCTATATCTATAATATGCATAGAAATTGAATGTTTCACTTAAAACTATCTAAATTGAACATTGAATTCATCAAATAAAATTGACCTACAATTTATGTAACAAATCAAAATATGATTTTTCAAAAATATAAATAAATAAATAAAAATGAATTCATTTCTATTGTTGGCGCTTCATTTAAAACATTTTTTTATTTTTCTTTCTTTTTTTTAAAAAAAAAATAAACACAAGCATAATGAAACTAAATCTTAATTCTGAATATTAACAAAGAAAAAGAAAAAAAGAGAAAGAGAAAGAGAGAAACTAAGCGATAGAGAGAGAGTAATAAAGACAGGATAAATCCATTTTTCATTAAAATAAAAAAAGAAAAGAAAGAAAAGAAAAGAAAAATTTTTTATCATAAAATATTATTTATTTAAGGATGAATTTATTTAAAAAACTAAAAAAACAACAAACAAAAAACAAAAAAAAATAAATTCATAATAATACAAATCAATAAATAAAAGAAAATGTAAAGGTTAGCGGAGTATTCTTTATTGATTTTAAGATTCTAAGAAGAAAACAAAAGAAGAAAAAGGAAATCTAACAATTTATAGAGGAAATTAAGTTTATGACCTAATTTATTTTTCTCTATTTTTTTTTTGTTCAAAATAAAAAAAAACTAAAAAAAATGTAATTAAAACTAACAATATAATTTTTTTTATTATGTAATGTAAGCTTTCAATTAACTTCTTTCTAGATAGATATATTATTAGCCTAGTTAATTATTAATTGAATATAATAATAATAATATTAGTAATAATAATAATACAACTGTTGGATACATAATGTTTAATTTTTCTTCTTTTTTTTTCTTTTTTTTAAAAAAAAAACAATGAATGATAGAGTTAAGTAAACAATACAGAATGATTATCATAGATACTTATCTTAAATAATTAACTGATGACTTTTCTTTTATGTTTTTCATTTACTTTAAAATAACGTGTTTCTAAGAAATAATAAATATATAGGGAGATTTCGTATATTTTAAAATGAGTACATAGATGGTCACGAAATATGTACTCATTTAGTCACATAGGGAAAGGGAGAGGGACAAACAGCTAAAAGCTAGAAAGTTTGTGAAAATTCAAAAGATTCCCTTTTATAGAAATATCTTTTATATCAAAATATCTTCTAAGAAGTCCAATATCAGAAAATTCTATGTTTCTATATGCTAAATTTTAGCAGGATTATTAGTTTACCTTAGTATCTCTTATTTTATATGATTGATACAAGTCCGCAGTAAACCCAAAACCTAGTTTTTATGTTTGTTGACAATTAACAGAAATGGTTGTTATAACTTACTTCCTTATTTACACCTGTTAACCTTTTTGGAGGAGCATACGCTGATTATCAGAATTCTCTATCCAACACTGTCCTGAACAATCCTTTTCAGTTCTTTCCAATAGCTATTCCTTCTTTTCATGTCTGCTTTTTCAATTCCCGACACAGTATATTCCTTGGTCTTCCTTCCTTCCGTTTCCCTTTAATATTAAGAGTTAGCAATTGCTTCGTAACGCAATTTGATGATTTCCTCAATATGTTTCCAAAAACTTTCAAAATATTTTTCTAATTTCCTCTTCAGCCAGAAGCTAGTTTGTTCTCTCCAACTGAGTATTTTGAATAGACAACTGTTTGTAAAAACCCGTACAATTTTGATGATGTTTTTGGTAGTTCTCCAAGTTTCAGCTCCATAAAGTAGGATTGTCTTGACAGTCCCATTGAAGATTCTGACATTGATATCGGTTGACAGTTGTTTTGAGTTCCATATATTCTTCGATTGTAGGGATAATACTCTTGCTTTGAGAGTGTCAGAAACGTTGAGATAACTAATATTTCCAGTCAAGTACAAACCCACGTCACACAGCCTCATAGTTTGAGATATTATTACAAAGCTATTCAAACCATGACTGACCTCTTACAGGGTTGAGATATTTACATTGGTTGTTTATTAACTAGTGTTAAATATCACTTCTGTTTATACAATCGTCAAAAATAATATAACTAAAAAATGAATAGAGGAATGGATGTCTCGCTTCCTGTCATAAATATTTGTCATACTTACTATCCGGCTCAATTTATGATTTAATTCATATTTTATACATTTCGTAGATAGTAGTTTAATATATTTACATGCAACCAGTCAAATAAACATTTCATAAAGTCTGTCTTGGTTGTATTATTAAGTTACTGTACAATAAAGCTACTAATTTCTAGTTTATGTCAGCAATATGAATATGTTGTAGAGACACAATTATACAATGTGAAACGGCATTTTAGCAGCATTTATTAACAGATACTAGTAGATCCTAAAATATATGCGACAAATTATTTGAATATTGTCAGAAGAGAGTTTTGTAGAGATTTTAGTAATTAAATAGTTAAATTCATGAGTCAATTGAAGATAAACGACCATGAAAAACTTAGGAGCACTGGACAGCAGTTTCATCCTAGTATGAGACTCCCCAGCAGTGCGCATCGACGATCTCTCTCCATGGGATTTGAACCTGGGACCCATCAGTCCTGCGTGCAAATGCTTAACCTCTAGACCACTGAGTCGGCCGACATCCAACGGTGTTAATGTCTAACTGCTGAAGAGTCCCATATCAGGACGAAAATGTCGTCCAGTGCTTTCAGTTTCTCCATGATCGTCTAGCTTCAATTGACTCATGAATTCAATTATATGAATACATATAAATAACTTTTAAACTGCTAATATATCTGTATTCCAAACTCATACTAAACGACAAAGAGTGTCTTTAGTTATATAATCACTGGAAACCAAGATTTATTACCTAGTTGATTCATTTCAATTTGGGACTACTCAGCAGTGGGGATTTACTGTTTTGACAGTGACTGAATTCAACACCTTCAGCTCTTTCAAGAAGTGATTAACTTTGATTGGCTAATATTTCTAATTCCATACATTTAGCACTGAATATTTTATTAAGTTTTCGTTGTGTATTTATTAAATTAAAACTAATTCAGTAATTGTATTATACACACTTTTTGAGATTTTATTATATATTTATGTTATATATGTATTTGTATTTTCCATAAACATAGATACCTTCGACCAGATAAAACTAAGAAAACAAAACAGAAAACTCAAGTCAAAAAAGCTACTCTATTTCCAGAATTTCATGAAGTAAGTTATCAAAATAAATCATTCCCTGATTGAATATTAATTATAAATATTTTCAGAAATTGGTGACTGTTTAATCTTGGGTGTTTAGTCGTGGATGTGCACTGCTGAGGAGTCCCGCAATATGTCGAAACGGCTGTCTAGTGCTTCCAGGTTTTTCATAATGGTCTAGCTTCAATTAACTCATGATCTCAACTATTAAAATTACTGTAATATCTACACAAAAATACCTCTTCTGATATTAATCTTGTCTAAATTAATAATTATGGTTGGAAGAAAATTTATAGAGTTGAAAGTCAATTATATCTTTACAGTAATATCAAAATATCTTACAGCAAAATGAACTCCTTGCTATTCATTAGTTTTCATATGTTTTGATAGAGCAATGAGAAGATTGCATTGATCTGAAAAATGTGATGTATTTGTGCTATACATTTCGAACAATCTGGTCATACATATACTTGCTAAGGTATTTTATATGAAAATTAATAAAACTCAACTAAATGAAAATTCAAGTAAACAAAGAAATAAAGGAGAAAAAAGATTAACATCATATAGAAAGAATAGGAAATTGTCACAGTGCCCTAGATCATAAAATGGCTTAAGGATTACCAGGGTAAATTCAAGGTTACGACAACTTGTTTTTGTAAACATGAGGGGGGTTTAAATTTACGAATAGCCAAAGCTTCTCGAAATATGGGAATTCGTCTTTGAAAATTCCTATACAACGTTTTAAAAGCTGCATTGGTGTCAATTCTGTGTTTTGCTATCGACAAACATGAGTTTCTACTTCCAACGTTGATCAGAACATTTGATATTAATTGGTGTTGAAGCCATCTAAGCACATGTTCCATAACCCTTGATTGTATGGTTCGAAATGTATAGCGTAAATATATCATATTTTTTAGATCAACTATGTCTTCTCATTGCTCTATCAAAGTTTATAAAAGGAACTAATTGCTTAATTCTCTGATACTAAAGTCCTAGTTTAGGGCCTCTAAATATGCATATACATACATACAATTTCAAAATTATCATTATAATTTATATACTGTAATAAGTTATACCTTAATCTATCATCGTATGTTACCATGTCAACGATTTAACCCAAAAACACAATAAGCATTAATTTTCACTTAATCTTATTATTTTCTTCTTTTCAATCTATTTATCTGTAACAAAAGAAAAAGGATATCTATGAACAATGAAAATTAGGAGAAATTGACAAAGGTGATCATGAACCAATAAATATTAGTAGATAAACTACAGAAAACCAGGAAGCAGTAAAGATTAGAGTCGACTGAAGAAACTATCTGAATAAAAGATTGTTTACAGATGTCAGTAGTAGGATATAAACTTACATTTTGTGAAGTTTGGCACTCATCAGTGAGATATATTTGAAATATTGATGGGAACGATGCTGTACATCAGATGTGAATCTGTATAATTCAATTTGAATATATCAGCTTGACAGGACTTCATCTTACGGCTTGAATAGATCAGGGGTACCATCTTTTTACCATGAAACTGAATATCATTTATTTCAGGACTAATCATTTCTTGCTTCTGCGTGTCAACTAGTATAAAATCGAAAGTGTCCTGGCAACTAACATACGACAATTTTACATCTAAACAGATTGTTTGTGATGTTAAATCATTCAGAAAGAACTTCATCGCGATTAAGGACTAAGAACTATATTAATTACTAATCAATCATCAGTCAGCATATAACTATCATGTCACTAAAATCTTTGAATTCACAATTCATGACTTTTCATTGAATTCCTTTAGAATATCCATCTAAAAATCTGTCATCAGTATCTTTAGTTGGATTGTTTGTAAAGGTTTTTTGTGCATTTATCATTTATCGAAGAGAATGTATGATAACATCTAAGTTCAGTTTTATCCTATCATTCACTTTGTCATCTGTAACAAAACATTTAGAGCAGGAAGAGTTAGAGAAATTGAAACTTTGTAGAAATTGTCAATTATATTATTACTTCCTCTTCTTTTTCTCTCCCTGATTATCTACTGACCAATGTCGTTATGTATATTTTTTCCTTCTATAACCTACCTAATTAAACATTTTATTAATCAGTTGATGAAACTTTCCGGGGTATCAGTTTTCCCTTAGCGTATTACTCAAGGTGTTTAACTCTTCTTCAACTATATCAGTGGTATTTAATAACCAAGAGTTTTGATCAGGTTTCCTTTGTACAACCGAGTTACAAAGATAAAGAAATGTGTGTACTGTCCTATCCACGTACTTTTCTTGTTTAAATTCTTTCTTATTGATCCATCAGCTTATGTAGGCCCGTTATTTAATCGTCGTTTAGATCGGATGATGTTTGTTGACGAGCTCTCCACTTTAGCAACCCGTGGATCTGACTCCAATTAGATCGTAATGAATGTTTGATATCTCCTATCCTCGTTTATAATCATCGACTTAAATCACGTTAGTCAATAACGGATTTAGATAAGTCAAATAACGAGAATGGACTTTTGAATATATATATTTTGTATATAAAGTGAGTGGAAGAGAACGAAGCAAAACGACGCTCAGTGGAGATGGCGGGTAATTCAACTCCCCATTTAACTAAGCGTTAATCAATATTTATGGTTACACAAAAGTAAGTTACAGACATGTGATGAGTAATGGGATAAGAAATGTACTCACACCTACGCTCTCATATAAAAACAGTCAAGATTGATAAGCGGCTAATTAACAAGGTCAGAATGTGATTCAAATAGGATGAATAGAATGGGTTGTCCGAATGCTAGAATAAGGTATATGGGCTTAACATAGTAACCGACACCGCAAGCTCTTTTTGTCAATAGAACTTGAATCTTGAAAAGTTGATTGATTTTTTCATAGCATCTATAAAATAATCTATATAATTTTAACGATTTTTTTTTTAAAAAAAACATTCTTTTATTTATCATTGAAATTTAGACATTTTTCTATGATTTAAATGCATCTGAAGCTGGTAGTCGAACACTTGAAATAACTGTATGGGATTTTGATCATGGTCCAAGTAATGATTTTATTGGTGGTTTAACATTAGGTGCTGGTGCTAAAGCTGAAAGACGTGAATTATGGTTAGCTGTATTTAGACCACCATATCGTCGTATTGAAGCATGGTTTCAATTATCGAATAGAACTGAAAATGGTAATCAATTTACAACACCAGGTGTTTGTGATTAAATTTTTTATTTATTTCTAAATTATAATATTCATTATTTCATTAAAAATTTACCTCTTATTTCTTTTATTGTTGTTAGCTTACAGCTTAAATCTGTGTAAATTATGAGTGATTTAAATAAACACAGATTTCCACTATTATTACTATTACTGTTGCTATTACTATTATTATTACTATTATTATTATTATTATTGTTTAAACAAACTATGAAGAATGCATTAACACTTTGAATCCGCAATCATTTTTGTTTGTTTGTCTTTCATTTCATTTTATGTTTATTGTATAAATAAATAAATAAATAAAATCATATTGATCAATCTAGTTGACATGTATATTTATTGTGTTTGTGTAAGTTCCCTATGTGTAAATTTTAAATATATTTTTTCTTTATGTTTCCATGTTTGTGTTTATGTATGTACGTGTGTGTGTATGTATGTATGTGTGTCGTGGGGGGGATATGATGGGTTATCTCGAATTCAATCATTCAAATATTATATGTTCAATGTTTTTCTATCATATATATTGTACACTTGATTATTAATTCTGTTATATTTCACCTAGTGTTGTTGTTGTTGTTCTCGTTCTTGTGATTTGCTTCTTTTTTCTTTAAAATTCATACTTATTACATTTGCTTCTTTCAATTTGTTTTAAATGAATCTTTTTTCACCTTGAATGAAAAAAAAATCATCATTATTTATTGTTTTAATAAGAGACAACTATCATATTGACATAAATAAAATGATATACAAAATATATCCATATTTCTTTTTCCTTTTTTTCTTCTTCATTGATTTGTTTTTTTTTGTTTTGTTTTTTTTCTATTGTTGTTGTTTATTTATTCAAAGTGTGAAATGCATAAACAACAATTCAGATGAACAAATTGATTCATTGAATTAATTAATTAATACCTTTATATCCTGCTAATTAATTTTCTAAAAGAAGAAAATTTATTTTTTGCTTGCTTGTTTATTATTATTATTACTGTTATTATTATATAAAATGTTTATTTGATTTTACAGAATGTTTATTCGTTTATTTGGTTCTCTTTTTTTTAAAAAAAAATGGGGGGGAACAAAATGTTATTTATCATTTTCAGATCTATTTTTTCCTCTTTCTATTGGTGCATTTTTTTCTCCACATACAATATAAAAAAAAAGAATTTTTTTTTCTGTGAATCGTTTACTTTTTAAAGTTTATAAAACGAGGAATAGTTGGTCATTGTTGTTTTTGTTGTTGTTCTTGTTGTTGTTGTGGAAGAGCTCATGTTAAGTGTCTTGATCCTGTGTATGTTTGTGTGTGTATTTATGTAGGAATGTATGTGTGTATGTGCATATATTCTTATGTTAGTGTACATTTTCAATCTTGATTTTATCTATTTAATTATCATAAGGAATATATATGTACTGTGAAAAATATTGTTATTGTTATTCAAATGTTGATTATCAAGTTTAAATTTATGTAATATTGAACAATTGAACAGATTTAATAAAACAATAACACTGAGCAAATCTTTAAGATGATTTTTTTTCATTAGTTTTTTTCTATTCTAATATGGAAACAGTGAGATTAGAATTTATGGACGAATCAATCACGTGTAAGATAACAGGTCTTGGATTTTGGCACGAAATTCACTCATCCATTTGGCTAAATAGAGTTTTGGCATTAGAGCTGATGTCAGTTCGTGATGAAAAACCTAAATCGAATTCCTAACATTAGCCATCAATTATACGTTATAATTTTAATTACTCACACTAGTTTATAACGTTAATTTGGTCCTACTTATTAGGTGGACACTCACAAGGTCACTTTAGCGTCGCTCAAATGTCGTCCATAAATTATAGTCTCACTATGGAAACGAGTTGAATCGAGTAGGGTAATTAGAAATTGAGATTTAGGTTTCATGTCCAACATTTATGTTTTGTGAATTATGTATTGAAAAATGAGACGAAGTGATAATCAATCAAAGTAAAATATTGTTATTTTAATATGATATGTGTGAAATACCGTGATTACGTCATGTTGATTTCATTGACAAAATGCTTTAGAATAAAGTTCTTGATTTAGAATAAAAGCTGTTACAGTTTTGCTGGACTTATGAGATACATAAGAGAGATATAATCAGCTTAATAGTTTTCTAGTTGAGATCATGAGTTAATTGAAGCTAGACCACCATGAAAAACCTGGATGCACTGGACGACCGTTTCATCCTATTGTGCGACCAATAGATCCTGAGTTCAAATCTTGCGAGGCGGGATCTAGAATGAGCACTTCTGAGGAGTCCCACAATAGGATGAAACGGCCGTCTAGTGCTTCCAGCTTTTCCATGGTGGTCTGGCTTCAATTAACTCATGATCTCAACTAATAAAATTACTATAATATCCACAAAACCCCTTCTGATATTAATATTTTTCAAACAAAAAATCAAGTCTCAAATGGTTTCTACATAATTAAAATCCTAATTTTTATTAGTCTAATCAAAACTTAACCATGTACTTAATAATGGCTAGTAACAGCTAAAAAGTGACGACAGGATATATAAACTAAGGGAAACGATATCCGTTTAGAGACCATACAATAAAAAACAATAAAGTTTGACGATATTACACATTTAATGATTAAATATGAATATATTTTAAACAATCCTATATATTAGAATCAGTGCATGGTAACTATAATGAATAACAATCATGCTTGATCATAAATTATCTGAAGCGAAAAAGGATGAACAAAAAAAAAGGATACTGAGTTTAGTCTATTGATGAGTCTAAAATGTACATTTCTTAGAAATTTCAATTTACAATGTAACAAATATTTCCTCTTCTCTATTCTGTTCAAGTGATTCACCATTATTCTTAGTTCTACGACAAAAGTTTTATCAAAACTATAAATTTATCATAGAATTAATTTAACCTTCTGACATTTAATGTTTTTTTATGCAAATAGTTTATCCAATAAACGATAACTAATAGTCTGTTTAAAGAATAACGTTGAGGCTTACCTTATGAACAACCTTTGACAGACACGAAAGTGACCATGGGATTACTCTCTTACTTACCAGGGTCAAAAGAGCGTTAAATATAAATTAATAAGAAGAATTAAAATTAGGATTTAGAGTTAGAATTTATGGTTATTAATCATCATGAACTGACATCAGCTTTAAACCTCCGAAAATGCTATTTAACTATATGGATTAATGAATTTAAGGCTCAAATCCAAGACTTGATATCCTTAATTTAATTGGTTCGTCCATAAATTATAATCTCATTGGAATCAGTGGTTAGTCGTAGAATCCATGATGCATGTTTTATCTTTGTTAACACTAATAAATTTGACATTCTCGGAATTTCAGAGTTGATATACCATGTATTCATTTCTTTAAATGTTCAGAATACAGCATAAATGGGAATTCTAGTTCACAATGCTAGATACTGATAAAGAATATGCCCAAGTTCTAAATATGAGTAATACAAAAGTACATGTTCAAGAAGCAAGTATGGAAATAGAAACTGATCGAATTCATTTTTGAATGTCGATAAAATAATGAATATAAACCTTTATAACTGATTATATCTTCGGGTTAAGTTTGTTTCGAATTAAGATAGCATCTCCTACTATTTTTCGCTCTCTTCATTTGCAAACACTGGAATCGAATTACGCTGATTTTTTCTCAAAATGTGACAAATTTAACTACAGCTTATCTACTGAATACAGGATTTATGGAGATGATTCAATTTGGAATTAAAAATTTCCAAGAGCTGAAATTAGTCACTATTCAATAGTAAACAAATAATATCACAGTCTAGAAAATATAGACTACTGAATTTCAACTCAATAGCTTAAAGATATTTTGCTTTATGTAAACTTTTACGTGCACGACTTGGATCCCACTTGGAATTGTGGATAGTCATTGTTAAGTAATCTGAAACTAAGACTTAACAACTATCTAGGAGTATTGGGTTTTCAAGAGTTACCCAGCTGATGTCAGTCTGTGATTTTATAAAAAAACTTGACGATTATTGATTAGAATAAATAAATTGTACGGGATGCCGCTTACTGTTTTTTTCGTATAAGTCATATAATGAGTAAATATTTCTAATTTTTTGTAGTACCACTAAGAAATGACCGTATTCATACCCAAAACTGATTGCGTTTACACCTACACAATGTTCGTCTAACATTTACTAACAAAGAAATATTCATATTTCATTGTGTTTTCAATTAAATATCTTGTGGTGGTCGATATTCGATATAACCCTTAAACTTCGTAAAGAGTGCGTCCTGATAACCGTTACTAGATAATGTCTCAACGGTGTATTAATCAGAAGGTGAATACGAAGTGTAGATTAAGTTTATTAATGCACAACACACAGATAACTAGAATTACAAATACTTTAGGCAAGCATGAAAAAGTATTGCGAAAAAGCAAGCAGACAAGCAAGTGAACAAGCGAGTCGAATGAATGAGTCGGGAGTAAACGAACATAGGGAACTGAATAAGTCATCGAATCAATTAAGCGACTAATAGTAAGGCTAGCAGAATGAATATACGGCTCTATCAGTTAAATAAGTTAACAAAAGGGATTAACCATACTAAATGTAAACAAATCCAACTGCACGTGATCTGCTATGATCTATAAAACTAATAGTGTTAATTAGATCATACACATTGGCATGAATGACAGATTCTTGTACTCAATGTGACGAATAATTATGTTGTTATGCTGAATAAATTAAATTAATTATAGTAGTCCCTTAATCAATGACCAAACGATTAGAACCTTAACATTCTTACTATATTACCAATGTTTCTGATTAGAATGCAAATTAAACTGTATGGGTGGTTTTAAATTTTATATTTATGTTAAGACAGTCTGAAATGACCAGTAGCTGTATGTTCCAAATCAATGATCATCCAGTATATGTAATTCTTGAATTATTCAATCGTAAAAGAAGCGGTTTATTTGCTGAATAGATGATTATTATTATTGCCAATATTATTGTTATTAATTTTAGTAATATAAAAAAGCAAACAATGCAAAGTGATTAATCTCTTTTTGATATATCTCTATTCATATGTTTATTCTGACTAAACAAATACAATATTTACTTATTAAGATAAAGAGACTGTATTGATTATTCATGTTGAAGGTAATTTTCATTATGAAGTAATATTAACTAGAGAAACATTTAAA